ATGTATCAAAGGCCTCAACATCAATCCAGCCACACTGAACCTCTTGGAAGAGAAAGTAGGAGGTACCCTTGAACAAATTGGTACAGGAGACTGCTTCCTGAATATAATTCCAGACTGGTACAGACACTGAGATCGACAATTAATAAATGGGACTTCCTCAGTCTTAGAAGCTTCTGTAAGGCAAAGTACACAGTTGAGAAGACCAAACAGCAGCTACAGACTTGGAAAAGATCTTCAACAATACTACATCTGACAGAGGGCTGATCTCCAAAATATATTAATAACTCAAGAAACTAATCAACAAAACACCAAATAACCCTATTAAAAATGGGATACAGAACTGAATAGAGAACTCTCAAGAGGAAATCAAAAAGGCTGAAAGACATTTAAGAAAGTGCTCAACATCCTTAGCTATCACGGAAATGGAAATCAAAACAACTTTGAGATACCATCTTACTACTGCCAGAATGGCTAAAATTAGACACACCAATGTCAACTTATGCTGGAGAGGATGTGGAGAAAGGGAAAATCTTGTCCACTGCTGGTGAGAGTGCAAACTTGTACAGCCATTTTGGAGATCAGTATGGCTGTTTCTCAGGAAAATGGGAATCAGTCTACCACAGGACCCGTAAATCCCCCCCCTCTTAGGTATATACCCAAATGATCCACATCCATGCAACAAAGACATGTGCTCAAGTATGTTTTAGCAGTATTATTTGTAATAGCAAGAACCTGGAAGCAACCTAGATGCCCCTCAATTGAAGAATGGATAAAGAAGATGTGGCACATTTACACAATGGAATACTACTCTGCAGGAAAAGAAAAAACAATGTAATCTTGAAATTCATAGGCAAGTGGGTGGAACTTGAAGAAACCATCCTGAATGAGGTAACCCAGTCACAAAAAGAGGAACATGTACTTGCTTATATATGGATTCTAGATGTAGAGCAAAGGATCACTAGCCTATAATTCACACCGCCAGAGAAACTAGGATACAAGGAGGATTCTAAGAGATTCATATAAGGTCCCTCACAGAAGAGGAAAGGGACAAAATCTCCAGAGCACATGGGGAGTGGGAAAAGGCAGTGAGTGGAGAGGGAACTAGGAGAAAGAGAAGGGGAGGAGAGGAAAGCACATGGGACTAGGAAGATTGAATCAGGAGAGAGAGAGAAAGAGAGAGAGAGAGAGAGAGAGAGAGAGAGAGAGAGAGAGAGAGAGAAAGAGAGAGAGAGAGAGAATAAAAGAGGGAGCCATTATAGGTTTGAGGAGAAACCTGAACCTAGAGAAATGTCTGGAGACCTACAAGACTGACCCCAACTAACAATTTGAGCAACAGTGGAAAGGCTACCATAAATGGCCTTCCCTGATAATGAGATTGACGACTATCTTATCCACCATCATGGAGCCCTCATCTAGTAGCTGATGGCAACAGAAGCAAACACCCACAATGAAACTGAGCTGAACTGGAATCCAGATGCAGAGAGGGAGGACAAGACCAGGCTGCAGAAGCACATAGAGACAGCTGACCTGATCAATGAGGAGCCAATGGGCCCCCAGACTGTAGCTGGGAATCCAGCACGGACTGACTGAGACCTCCTGAACATGGGTCTCAGCTAGAAGGCCTAGGCAGTCTATGGGTTCTCAAACAGTGGAACCAGGATATTCCTGGTACATAAAAGTACTCTGGGGGCACATCCCCCATGGAGGTATCCTTCCTTAAGCTAGTCACAGGAGAGATGTCCAAATGACTTTACAGATATAGATGACCCCTCCTGGAAGGCATCACCTTACATTTGGAGTTGGGGGAGATGGGAGGGGAGGGTAGTTGTGGGGCATGGTAGTGTGGGAGAGAGGGGAAGAGGAAGGGAGGGAGAGGGAAATAAGAGCGATATGTAAAATAAAATACATTAATATAAAAAAAGGAAAAACAAACAAAATCCCAAGAACATAAAATGATAAAACAACCAGTCTTGAATTGAGTTTCTTATGTCAATAATTTGCTTGTTTGCACACAATTTGAAGTCACTAGTCATTTTACAAAAGGAGTTTTAAATTCTCTGTTCACTTCTTTCTTCTTATATTTAGATTTCACAAAAATTAAGGAGTTATGATCTTATGGGTACTCCCTTGCCTTTTCATGTTTCTTGTGATTTATAGATTTACTGTTATGGATATGTCTTCAATTTCTTAAAAGGAACCTTTTCAGTAGCCTTCTTCATGGCTCATTCCCCACTACCACCCACTAATGAGAAGACAAATGGCTAGAACACTAACCTAAAACAGATGAGAAATATACTTGAATGACACTAATATACCACCAATGACCAGCAATGACCAGAAAAGGACAAAAATAATGTATAAGCTATTATGTTAAAAAGTTAGGGTAAATGTAAAAGTAGCAAGTTATTGAAATCACAAGCGGCTTGCAAAGGCGAAAAAGAAAAGAGGCAAAGTTAAATGAAAAAAAGGAAAATGAATGCAGAAATAAGCTGTGAAGTGGGGGGAGGGAGAAGTGAGAGTTTAAATAATTGTGATTGCCCAATAAAGGAAAAGGGTATAAGCAAATTAAATGTGAGAATACAAGAGAAAAGCATTTTTAAGCTATAGTTAAAAAAAGGAAAACTACAAGGCTCCAAAAACACACTAGCAAAATAAAACAACCAAGACAAAATATTGGACAGTTTCTTCCTTGTTCTCTAATATGTGAAAGGCAGTGTGTAGCTGAAAGTGGAGTCATCTGTCTTTCCTAAAATTAGGTCAGTGTTGAGCCTGCACTAGCCACGTGTCAACATGCTCCAAGATGTCTTCACTTTAGGATCATTGCTTTTATTGCGTACCAGGAGCCTTTGTGGCCACAGTTAGCATTGTACTTGTAGGCCAGGTAAATTCTTCCATGTTCTAGAAATTCCTTAGTCTGAACAACCTGACACAGCTATTGTCTAAGTCAAATAGTGTTCCCAAGTGTTTTGAGGACTAAGGAAGACAGAGCACTGACACATAATCCAAAGGACTAGTCTTAGTGCTTTCAAATCCCATTAAAAATTAATTGTCCGCTAGGAGAGAGGAGGCTGCAGAAGGTAAGGGCTGAGTTGTGGCTATCCTCTAGCCTGTCAACAGATAAGTCCTATGCCTACATGTGGCTCTAAGAGTTGGAGTATGTGCTAACCTCAGGTGTAGGTCTGCTAGTCTCTACTATTTAGCTTCAGATTTGGCGATCTACCAGCCACAGAAGACTAAACCATCATAACCTTCACTGTTGCAATCTTCTGCTGTCTGAACTTCTCAGAGGGCCCAGCCCTTCATAATTGCTTCCACATCTCTCGTTCAAGATCTGGGACAGGAATTGTAATTGTTCCCTACTGGCCACTTTTCTGCTTTCCTATTACTTACTTTGTAATTTCTAATGTTCTTCTAATCGTTCTCTCTCTGAAATAGAATCTTTATTATCCTGATCCTCATTTGTGTCATAGAAATGCACCCTTTAATTTAGTATCTCACCTGTTTTTCTTCATCTCTTTCCCCATTATTTTCTGTGGTTCAAGGGGTGAACCTAGGGTCTTGTGGAAGTTAAGCAATAGCCTTACCCCTTCCCCCCTTTTTTTGGTTGAAGAGGGTAACCCATGCTGAGCTCCAATTTGCAAGCTTCCTGTCCCAATCTCCAGGATATTTACTAGATTACATCTGACTTCCTAGGCTTTTCAATGACAAAAGTATTACCAAAATAATGTAAATTCTTTTAGACAAATGAGAAAGATATAATGTGAACTCATCTTAATATTGTTTGGCAGCCTCGGGAAGTTTTTTGTTAAAAACAGTATCTGTGAAAACACCATCTCTGCCACATTAGTCCCTGCCATTCTTCCATGCCATTTCTCATTAATAATGGTTTCTATCTTATTGGTTCCTTGGATTAATTCTGTAAATATATTTCTCTATTTGAAGAAAACAAACACAATCCTTTCCTCACCTCCATAGTCTTATCTATTTTCTTTTGATTTTGCAACAAAACTCCTTATGTGAATGTACTATGGAAACCACTTTTTCTCTCAGAAATTTTTGGGTTGTGTACACAAAGAAATCCTGAAATAGCTCTATACATTACAGGACATAGTCTACTAGTTTCAATGTTTATTCTTGTTTTAGCCATTGTCCCATGGCTGTGAAGAGACACCATGACCGTGGCAACGTTTATAAAGGAAAGCATTTAACAGGGCCTGGCTTACAGATTCAGAGGTTTAATCTACTGTCATCATGCTGGAAATCCTGGTGGCACACAAAGAAGGAGCTGAGAGTTTGACATCTGGGTCCATAGACACAGGGAGAGATACTGGGCCTGCTTTGGACTTTAGAAAGCCCAAAGCCCTCACTTAGTGATACACTTCCTTCAACAAGCCACACTTCTAAATCCTTTCGACCACTACCCGGTGACCAAGCATTCAAATATATGAGCCTATGGGGACCATTCTCTTTCAAATTACCACAATTTTTGATTTGACAATTTATTATTCTTATTAGAGTGACATTTTTCATTTTTTCCTTAACTAGATTCTGAATCACAGACCACAGACATTCTTTCAGGTCAGCAACTTTAAAATAAACTCCCTTATACTTTAAAACAAGAATATAATTTCAGAAGTATCTGTTCTTTCAGCTTCTGCTTCTTTAGCTACTATACAATTTGCCCTGCAACATTTTTTTTGTCATATTACAGTGAATGACCCCTTTCCATGAAAAAGTAAGTTTTTAGATTAAGAAATATTATAGAGTCCTTCTTTACCCAAATAAAACACACACACACACTTTCTCTCTCTCTCTCTCTCTCTCTCTCACACACACACACACACACACACACACACATGCATTTGCACGTACACGCGTGCATGGGAAAAAAAGAGGACAAAAATTCTCTACTAAGAAAATGGAGACAAAGTATATTAATACAAACCTAACCCAACAAAATACAATTCATCATTCCATATAACCTGTTCAGTGATACTCACCCTTTGGATACTCCAGCTCTGTCATTAACAATCTTCACTTCTTTTACAGACCCATACTGGGAAAAAAATTTTCTTAAATCATTTTCATTTGTCTAATGAAATAAAAAGAAAATATTAATAAACATTTTAATCAATAAAAGATGAAAGAATTCCAATGCTCGTTGTGGAGACACAAAAAACATAGAAAACAAGTTACACATTAAAGAATAGGCAAAATCATTGCTAATAAAATCTATGTATTCTGCTTCACATACTAGCTAGACAGCTACTTTAAACTGAATTATTCTAAAACTGCAAAGATTGCTAACTGTGTAAGGGAATCTTTTAGTGACTTTTAAGAATGCTAACTAGGATTATGTACACTATAGGCTGCATTACTACTGGCTCCAGTATTTGGGGAGGCCAGCAATTGCAGCAGTGAAAGTAGGTCCCAATGGCCCAATCCAGTCATTTATGGTAATCAACAGTCTTTGGGAAGACTCAGGCCTTAGGAAAGGAATATATATTTCCCTAATATTTGAATTTGCCATAATAAGTTACAAAGTGACTATAATATTTCAAATTATAAGACATTTTATCTGTACTCAACACACATTTTAGCTAACTACAGACATTATGATGATACTACAGACATGATAATCATCCGATAAACTTAGTATAATAGACACAATGTTCAAAATGTGTAAACAGATGGTTTGGGAATATCTGCTTTTACTAAAATAGATAAGATAATGAAGAGCTATTCCCAGAGTATTTATGGTGAATTCATGGCAATTATTTTTGGGTTCAGTTGCAAATATTTTCTTGTTAGTGTAACTTTAAGTTTACCTGAAGGAGAACCAAAAGACGTCTTAGAGCACAGCCACTCGTTTTGACTTGAACTCTTACCTCACTTACTTAAGTACACGATCTGTTATTTTGGATAATAACTTTAACCCTGTTAAATTGGACAATGACAAACACTAAATCTAAGAATAAGTCAATTACCTTTATTTTAGAATGGAATTTCTAAAACTGGAATCAATGCTAGAATGAGAACTGTTATTGGAATTTAGACAAGTTAATCCACACTATTTTCTGGAGGGGGGAATCCCTTCCTACCTTAGCCACTAACTCAGTCACTAACTTGTAGAGTAAGGGGAATGTCTGCAGGGGGACAGTCCATAAAAGCCTGACACTGTTGACTACTATAGGAAATTATTTTGTGGTTTTGAAAAAGATGTCTCAAGAGAAAGAATTCTGTTAAAACGGTGGCTGATTAGAAACAATAATCACTAAGATTCATATTGCCCTTGATGTGTTTTAGTGACTTACAGGAAGATGTTCAGATTTGTTAAATAGTTATTTTAAAAGTTCACTGAGATGTTTAATATGAATGAATTCTAAGCATGAATACCTGTACTTTCCATAGGTACAGAAAAATCTTTCCAAAGGTAAGTATTTTATACAGCATATTTATTTATAGTGAAACAATCACATATTAAGAATCATTATTTTGACAAGTACACTAGGCACAGCATTTTTCTTAAGTAAAAGAAAAAGTACTTTTAACTAAATTGTGATAGTGCATATGAAAATAAGGTAGGTATCACAAATCACAAATCATGGCACCTTTTATTACAAAAGGCATCCATCCTTATAATTTCTAATATGTAAACTTAGAAATGATATTATAAATCCATTTGGAAGTGTGTGTGTGTGTGTGTGTGTGTGTATTTGTGTATTTGTATGTTTAGTGCCTCCACAAGCTAGGTAAACCTCTACCACCAAGTTATATCCACTCCTCAAGTAAGGATATGTGATTATACCTTTCTTTTACATATCTATCACTACTTCGTATACAGGATTACTGAAAATCATTTCAACCATGCTTTTCTGAAAGAGTGAAACAATTGATGAGCTGATATAGCATGCTTTTGTACAGATTCTCTTTCTGGACCACAAGGTCTTTTAAATGAACAGATCAGAAATGCTATCAAAGAAAGCTATTTGTATTAAATTGAAGTCTAGAACATGGATTTAAAATGCCAGATAAAAGTTAGGAAAAAGATACAGGGTTTAGGGCTAGAGAGATGGCTCAGGAATTAAGAGCACTGGTAACTCTTCCAGTGGTCCTGAGTTCAATTCCAGTAACCACATGGTGGCTTACAACCATCTATAATGGGATCTGATGCCCTCTTCTGGCATGCAGAACCATATACATAAACCATATACATAAAATAAATTTCATATATATATAATATATGGTTTAGAAGACTAAAATCTTTAGATTAAGTTTTCATTTGAAAATTGAAATTATCTAGGTAACGAACATCATATAAGAAAGCATAACTGAAGTATGCTGAGAAAGGAAGAATACTGAACAATGAGTGAGAAAAACAGACTACTTAAAAAGAAAGAGGGGAAAAGTAGATTTCCAACAGTACTGCCAAGGGGCAGACAGCAATGAAAGAACCCTCAATTTCCTTGTGTGAGACTGGACAAGAATACACACATAAATTAACCTACACGATCATTGAAACGGTTATTTATATTTAATCCATGACAATGTAAAACCTATTAACTAATATGTAAATGTGATTTTTATGTCAGATAAGGAAGCAACTGCTGAAAAATGAAATATTCAATTGCAAATAAAAACAAAACATCTTTTCTTTCCCACCCACCATGTTGCACCCACAAATATATACCTTAAAGTCAATTCCTCCTACGAAGATGCGGTTAGGGATCACGGTTCCATATCTTGGGGCACTTGTTGGGTTATTCAAAGGCACAGGTGACACAGGATTAGGGGATGGAGATAATGAATCTGTTTGTGTCTGATTTGTTGTTTGCTGTAAAATAAAGTCATTTAAACCTTTGAGCATGGGGCAGGGCCATCAAAATAGTCATTTAGGTAAAATGTCATGTACTTGACTTGAACTTTATTCCAAAATTACCAAGACTAAATTAGACTTCATAGCTTTGGGGGGAAATAAAAATTAAATGAATTACTTTACTCTGGAGAATTGCTTACTATTAAATGTACTGCTCAAATTTACTTCCAATAATTATGAGGAATGCGATTTGTTAAGGAAGAACATTAAATAAGCCGGCTGTGGTGATGCACACCTTTAATCCCAGCACTCAGGAGACAGAGGCAGGAGGATCTCTGTGATTTTGAGGCCAGCCTGGTCTACAAAGTGAGTTCCAGGACAGCCAGGGCTATTCAGAATAACTGTGTCTCACAAAAAACAAACACCAAATAAAGCATTAAATTCATAAAGAAGTGAGAGAGAGAAAGAAAAGATGCTCTGGCCAGCCATTGTGTCTAGCAGTGAAAAGCTGGCCTGGCACTCACAGCCAGCAGGCTGTTCTCTTGTTAAAAGAGATCAACACTAGATGAAGTCATTAAATTACAATGTACCAAGAGGAAAAGAAGCATTCTTTAATCATGCCTGAATACTGATAAAAAACAAAAACACTGTCTACACTATGAGAATTACAACCATGTCTCCTTTACCAATTTACCTTTTAAGTAATAATTTGCACAACTATAGAAATATTCCCATTTCCTCACAACATGCACTCACAACAAGCCCTTCTTCCTGAAATCTTGTCTAAAACTCTCAAACCTACATGGTATAAATCAAGTTCTTAACACCTGAGAGGACCCAAGTGTACTTTCTTCCTAGTTCCAATGACTTCACAGACACAACTCAATTACAGACATGTTCTTGGTAGTCGTAGGCTAAGGAGCACTGACAAGTTAATAAATTTGCACAATTTGACCTGGAAGTCAAAACTTTAAGTGCATGTATCCTCTTGAAAATTAGACTGATCTTTAAGAAAATGACATACCTAGCTTGGTGAAGTGGGGGAGGCAGAAGCAGGCAGATTTCTGTGACTTCAAGGCCAGCCTGGTCTGCATAGTTCTAGGCCTGCAAGGGCTAATCGGTGAAAAATTTACATACCTAAACACTTAACTATATATAGATTTACATGATAAAGACTTGAGCTCAGTATGTATCCATTATGTTCATACTTCTAAACTGGCTTATCAATATCAATGTATAAAACTTTGCATATTGGCAACCAAACAGTGAAAAAAATTAAGAAACACGTTAAAAAACTATTATTTCTTAGCCAGGTGATGGTGGCACACACCTTTAATCCCAGCAGAGGCAGGTGGATCTCTGTGAGTTCAAGGTCAGCCTGGTCTACAGAGCTAGTTCCAGGAAAGCCTCCAAAGCCACAAAGAAACCCTGTCCAGAAAAACAAAAACAAAACAAAGCAAAACAAACAAGACAAAACAAAATAACAACAAAATATCTATTATTTCCTTCTGAGACTTTTAAGACAGTCTAGCATATCAACTTCTTCAAAAATACTAAAGTTCATAATTTGCTGAGAAACATTGAAGTTTTAATTTAGATGGTAGAGTTGTCCTTTTCTATATTTCATTTTATTGGCCAACCAAACCACTACTTTAGATGTTTCTATGATTAAAATATGAAAAGGCAAATTCCATGTCCTCATGAATATTATATCATAGTACAAAGTATCAGCTAACTATAATATATGGCATATTAGGAAATGGAAATAAACAGAGATGGACAGTAATATGTAATAGTAACAGAAACAATAGTTATTTCTGTTTCAACAAAGGAAATCTCTAATTGTAAATAGTACCAATGATATTCTAGAAAATATACTACCAGAGAAAATCTTCTAGCATCAACAGATATAACTTTGTCTCTTTGCCAACTAATTTATAGCAGAGAACTTGTTAAATAATAATTAAAAAGTTCAGAAAATTCTGTAAAAACTACAGTTTGTCCTCACATTTAAATAAGAAGACAAATTCCATCCTTTTTCATGAGAGGTGCATGAAAACAGTCCCAATGAAGAGACTCCAGGCAACTCACCTAGGAAAAATTTATTTATATTTTAGACAACCAATTTATTTCATCCCTTTGTTTTAAAGGCTTCTATCCTGTTGTGAATGTTAACTGCTTTTTTATTATTTATCACCTGCTAATATATATATTTACCTGTCACTTTGCACTATGCTACAATATTCATGAAGGCAGAAGGTTATACACACACACACACACACACACACACACACACACACACACTGCAACGTGTAAACCAGAAACATGACATAACAAGTGTTCAATGAGTATCTGGTGAATGTATGAACAAATAGACATTTGTTCCAGGAGAAATCTGCGTAGCATGTGCTGAACATTTGGATATGGACCTTAGTACCAGTCATATTCTAGAACACTTGTACTGTTCGCAGCTACAAGGCTTGGGCAGAGGTAATATCTAAGTTCCTTAGAGATTAGCCGTGGCTCAAATACCAGGAACCTCTAATTGTCAACCGTTTGAAAGCATGGAGGCAGCGGCTGCTCCCCAGCTGTTAGTGCGGGCTCCTCTGCTTCGTTGTAAAGGGTGGCCACTAAGAAGTTTATTAGAGTAATATGGCCTCACTGCCTCCTTCTCTGGGACTTAAAAAAACAAAACCAAAACCAAAACCAAAAAACCCTAGAAACGGTCCATCTTTGCAAGGACAAAAGGGAAGAGGTGGGCTAACCGTCGCCGTCACCGCCTCGGTGCTCCTTCCCCTCTGGGGCCAGCAGGTGGAGGCGATGGGGGAAATGGCCGAACTGACAACTTCGTCGGGTTCTCTCGGGTCATCGTGAACTGGGGCACCGACGCGAGGGTCTCCCCCCTCCCCCACCAAAGTGCGGGAGGGAAAAGAAGGCGAGCCAGCGAGAAATTTTGCCAGGCAAACCCGCCAGCAGCGGTGGCGGGAACCCTCAACGGCACCGACCACGCGCAGGCCGCCTCGTGCGCAGCTGGCCGGGGCCCTGCGCTGGCGCCCGCTGATTGGCTGCCGGCCGGCACGGGGCGGGGCGCGGCGGCACGTTACCAGGTTACCGGGCAGCGCTGGGGCCCGTAGGCCCCAGGCCGGGCCCAGGCCTGACCCGGGCTGTGCGCGTAGCAGCGGCTTTCCCTGGCGGGGCAGGGCGGGGCGGGGCAGGGCAGGGCGGGGTGTCGACCGCCACCCACCTGGTGGCCGCCGGCGACGACGAGGATGTGTCCTCGGAAGCGCGGGCGTCGAAGGCGCCGCAGTTTGGGCGGGAGAGTGTCTTAAGGCTTCCGCTCGCTTGTTGGCCATGGAGGGCAGAGCCTGCCCGCTGTCCCCGGCCGTTCCCCAGCCCCATTCTCACACACCCGACGGGTCGCCCTTCGCAGCGGGGGCCGCACCGCCTTCCTCCCCAACCCAACAGACAGCGTTTCGGCTCCGGCTCCGAAGCACACCCTTCCAGACCCTCCGAGGCCGCGCCACGCCGCGCAGGGCCCAGACCCCGGCCGGCACTCACCGCCCGGGACTCGGTCTCCATCTTTCCTCTCCACTCGGTAGAGAGGCAGGAGGCCCCGCAACTTCAAGTTGGAAGGCGCGTTCGGAGGAAGCGAGCCGGCGCGGCTCCCGTCGGGGACGCGCTCCCCCTGGCGGCGGCGGCGGGGGCTGCAGCAGCGCGGCCGGGCGAGCTGGTGGGGGGGGTGGGGGGGGGCTGTGCGGAGGAGGCGCTGTGCGCAGGTCCTGGGGACGCTCGGCGTGGGACTGCGTAGTGCGACGAGCGGCGTGGGACTGCGCGTACTTTGAGGGGCGGCGTGGAACTGTGCACACTGCGAGGGGCAGCATGGCACGGGGTGGGAGGACAGCCTGGGACGGCGCACACTGCGAGGGATGCTCTCACCTCCCAAGCCAGGTGCACCTTGGAAGCCAAGAGCTGCCAGCAGCACGCTGTCGCTGTCCAAGCTCTGGAAAGCTGATCTCAGCCCTCTATTCCAGCATGGCCCATGTGGACTTCCGAAAGCTGGTTCGAGGACAGGAAGACAGTTTCCATGTGCAAACCTTGCTCCCACTCCCGGAGTCACATGCAGAAGCTGTGGATGCAGTACCCGATGTTGCTGCCACTCACCCCTGAGAACAGGAGGGGCTAATACCTTTAATCCCAGCACTGGGGAGGCGGAGGCAAGGGGATCTCTGAGTTAGAGGCCAGCTTGGTCTACAAAGCAAGTGTTCCACGACAGTTAAGGACTACAGAAGGAGGGCCTGCCTGTCTTACCCCCTTTCCTGTCCCAGTCTAAACCCCTGCCCCAGAGAGAGAGAGAGAGAGAGAGAGAGAGAGAGAGAGAGAGAGAGAGAGAGAGAGCAAAAGAGTTCCTGAAGAGAACCAGCCTCATTAGACTTGGCCCCATAGCTTTGGGATCTCCTTGGAAGGACTGCTTTGTGAGGACTACCTTTAAAAGGTTCCCGAGAGCCCATCTTGACCCTTAAGTGGTATGTAATCCCAGTTAGATAAACTCTTTAATAAAGACAACCATTATTATAAACGACTATGCATGATGGACTCATTTTGTTTCAGGCACAACGCTGTATTGTCATTTCTCACACCAATTCTTCCAGTAGATTCACTTGTTGCGTCACAGGTGAATAAACAGGTAGACCAGTACTTTGGTCAATGTCTAAAGCTACAGCAAATTTATCCCTAGCATTCTGCAACTTCAGTCCTTTATCTTAAAAGATCAGCCATGTTTTTAAGCCATCACCATCAGCAAGTGTTAAAAGTTACATCTATGATAACCTGCGTACTATGTGCTTCTAAAAAGAGGCACTTAACCACAGGAGGTATTTGGTTTGGTATAATGAACAAAATCGAAGGAACAGTGACTGTGTCCCAAGGACTGTACTAGTGTTAGGGATAATACTGCACTCCTTCGTTCAGTTTCTCTTTACTTTTTAATCCAACAAGAACAACTTAAATCACACAAAATTATATTGTAAGCATTGTGGCAGCTCAGATGGAATGGGATGGGCAGGGATTCTGGCACTCAGGAGCCAAGGAATACTGAGTATTACAGCTCAGATGGACAGGGATTCTGGCAATCAGGAGCCAAGGAATACCACAGGTCAAAGTAAGCATAGCAGCTTACACCCTGCTTCAGGGAAAGGCTTCCCCCAGTGTATCAACTCTGTTCTGGTAGGAGAGGGCTTCCCCAGCTCCAGAGAATGGCTTCTTCTCAATGTAACAGCTCTGCTCTGTCAGGAGAGGGTTTCCCCAGGGAAGTATAACAACTCTGCTTTGCCAGGGGAAGGTTTCCCTACTCTGCCCAGGTTCATTTCTGCTCTGGTGAAAGAAGGTCTCACCCAAACCTCATTGGAGAGATTTATTGGGAGGGAAGAATCCTGGAGAGTGGGTACCCTCTGCCAGATATAGCCTTAAAAAGTAACTACTTTTAGTAAGCAGGAAAAAAGAAAAGGAAGAAAGAAAAGATGGGCAGAAAAGAAAAGAAGTTAGCTCATCATCTTTTCTTTCTTTAGTTCTGCTGAGAGTGTGTTTCTATGGCTGGCCCTTTCCACCAACATACCTGATTCAGCAAATGCAGATAGATTTGAGACATGGTCTTCCCTACAACCCACAAGGTCAAGGCATTGTTGAACGAGCTCACCGAACTTTGAAGGAATGCTTAATAAAACAAAAAGGGGGAATAGGCCAAGGCCGCACCCCCAAAGAGAGAATATCTCTAGCTCTACTGACTCTTAATTTTTTCAATTGGATGTGGATGGGCGCTCAGCTGATGATCGCCATCACAGTGTCTTCCCCATTGATAAGAGATTTGTAAAATGGAAAGATGTCATTTCTGGACTATGGAAGGGTCCCGGCCCAGTGTTATCCTGGGCGAGAGGGTCTGTTTGTGTTTACTCACAGGATCAGTCAGAACCTCTGTGGATTCCTGAAAGACTGACCAGGAGAGTTCCTGCCTCTGAAGATGGCAAGGCACCTGATGCTGACAATCATGATGGTGGTACTGGTCAACAAGATGGAAACGGGTCCATGATGTGGGATCCTGTCGGTGTTTCCTAAACCTATGCCAATTAGGCATTCTGCCCAAGTTTCCCCCAGATTTTTTAGTAGCAATTTAAGTTTAAATTTACCTTTTTTGCCTTTAGATAAGGATATTAGTCCTGTAGAGGGAAATGTTAGTTTTGTCTTGGGAGGGATGCTTATCCTAGTCAGTCTCATTGCTTTATGGTGTATCTGCAGCATGAGGGTTACACAGCAGAGAAGTAATGCCATGATTGCACAAGCCTTCGCAGCCCTGGAGGCAGGGCAGTCACCTCAGGCTTGGTTAAGTGTGTCAAAAGGCTAAGCAGTCATCACGCTCAGGATGCGAGACGTAGTACTGCACTTGAGGCCAGCTATTAGCGGCTTCATGGAGGGCAAGTCTGATTGCATATGGGTTGGTATCGTAATCCCATCTCTGAGAAAAGATATCGGACGGGTGTGGCACCAGCTTGGCTGATAACTGGGCATGGGGGGCCATTACAATGTCCCTTGTTCATCAGAGATCAGACCTCTACCCTTGCCTGTTGTGTTTTAAACAAAAAAGGGGGAACTGTGTGATGGGAGATGTCATTCTGTATATGCTTCTCATACTGGTTAATGAATAAAGCACTGTTGGCCAATAGGAAAGTAAGATAGGAGGGATTAGGAGACAAGGAGGAAAGAGGAAGTAGTAAGGAGGAGTCAAGATGGAGAGTCAGGAGAAAGCAGAATGCCGGCCGGGTTCCCGGTAAGAGAAATACATAGATCAGCAGAAATGGGTTAATACTTAAGACAGAGCTAGCCGATAAGAAACTAGTACCTGGCCAACAGCATAATATCAAATACAGAGTCTCTGTGCATTATTTGGGGCTGGCTCGGCGGCGGGACAAGACTGGTGGCGGACGGTAAAACCATACTTCTTACAACTGTGGGAAGCCACAGCATTAAGGTGGTGCCTGGCTGGATGCCAGGTAGTTCGAGCTTAGCTGTAAACAAGCCTTATTTGGAAGTGCTTGATGGATATGGTGTGCTTCCTCCTTCTGTGGCCTATCTGGGATCGCCAGGTGGCATGAGCTGATTGGGCAGTGAGCGCACATTGAAGGACTTGCTGGGGCTGGGAGGAACAGAAGCTGATGTACAAGGTTCCTGAATCAACTGCTTGAAGAAGAATCATGGTGGTGTTTCCTTGCTGGCCGAGGTAGACATGACAAGGAGGCACTTGAGTTCAGATCCCCTGAGTTATATAGCTAGATCCTGCTGAGAGAGGAAAGGGGGGCAAGGAGAGAGGCAGAAAATGCCTGCTGCCCAGCACAAGGTAGGAACACAAGAATTACTTGTAGCAGGAAGTAAAGAACCGGTGACCACTCTCCCCCTGTGCACTTTACCCATAATCCCCATCTCTTGGCCTTTTCTACTTCAGTCATGGGCTCACAGCTGGGCTATAACTCCTTGTTGGTAAGGTGAGACCAGACACCACCCTTCTTGTCCACAGCTCCTGGAAGTTTCTTAAGGCTATATCTTACTACAAAGAAAAATGTCTAGTCGTGAGATATAAAAAGAGTTGGCTTTTTTCCCCCATAAGATAAAAACTGGGAGAGTTAGGACTTGAGAAAATATAGGCCTGGCAAGACAGCAGCTGTCGCAAACCACTGTAACACTTTTCTGGACTGAGAGTGAGGAATAGCTTATATTTCCAGAGAGCCATTTTCCCCTCTGTCTCCTCCAGTGAGAGGATAAGATGTAAAATTTGATTGATTTATCCAGAATGTTTTCCCTGTTTGCAGTTTATATGGAGGTCGATTGTTTTTCACCTTCACCTTCCATTCTCTGAACTCTCTGGTGTCCTGGTTCAGGGTTATTATTAACTCATTGGTTAGTTTTCTAGCATCTCAGATGCCAATAATTACTTTTTTAAAATGGACATATAATAACTTTATTTGTGGAGTACAATATCCTAGAATAATTACATCAAGCTAATCAACATACTTTTGTTTTTTTTAGACCTACTTACTTTTGAATGGTGAAAACATTAAAGTTTTAAGCAGTTTTCAAACATACATTATCATGTGGCCACCAGGATGTGGTAGTAATAGATTACTAAGGTAATTTTTTTCAGACTCTTTTTTAAATTTAGAAACAATCATTTTATATCAATCCCTTTCCTGCCCCCCACCCTCCCATTACCCCTCCCACCCCCAACCCTCTCCTCAAGGATGGTGAGATCTTCCATGGAGGGTCATCAAAGTCTGTCACATCATTTGGGGTAGGGCCCAGGCCGTCCTCC